TTTCAAGTTTTCTATCGATGCTATTCAACTGACAAAAACTCTTGCATATTTCTTGAAGCTTAAGAGGATCCTAATGCGAAGTTCGAACTTCGAAATCATCAGAAATCGCGTCGCGCACCGCACATCGACATGTCTTTTTATATTACCACAGCAATATCTCTCGCAACCTATGATACACACAGTCACACGTACGTGTCAATTTTTGTATAATAAATTCGTCGCGATAAAGCATTTAAGTCTAATTCTAAGAACTCAACGTTTCGTGTAAACTACGTGTTTGAGAATCATTATTTCATACGTACAGATTGTAAAGCTTTCGTATCAAGCAAATGTTGTCATGACTTGATAGCTGAGACGCCATGTTACACTAAAAAATGATTAAAAATATATCAATTTTGAAATTTTCGATCGTTCTCAGCACTCCACTTTCCAGATACGTATTATGTACTTATATACTTTAATTCTGGAAAAAGTTTTTCAAATCGAAAGAGAAAAAAAGTATCTTTTATACAAAAATTATATTATTAAATACGTGCTTACGTGGTAAAACAGAAGACTTTAAGATCCCTTTAATAAGAATTAAAAAGAAAATTGACAATAACAGTATGTCACGAAAAACAATTTGTTTTTATTTCCTGTAATTTTACCAATTTGTCTGAAGACGTGCAAACAGTTGAAAAATAAAAAAATTAAGGAACGGCAAGACATCAAAGAATTCAGAAGACAGAAAACAGCGTGAAAAATATATGTGTAGTGACTTTCTTTTTTCTTTTCTCTAATAAATTATTTGTTACTAAAGAAATTATTATTATTATCTATTAATAGAACTTATCAACAAAGTTGGTATATTTTATATTATTCTTTCAAGCATTTTAAGAATATTTTTCACTTTGAAAGTAAAGACAACAAAATAAAAAATCTCGCAAATTAAAATATACATTCATGCATTCTTTCCTTTTGTCACATTTTGACATAAACGTAATGCAACACTGTATGTAATATACTAAATATATAATGCGTCTTTCCCAAAAAAGAAAGACCAGAGAGAGAATATCTGAAAATTTTATATTGGCGAATGGAACCAATCGTTTTAAAAGACTCCTTATGCGGTTTCTCGATATAAAGTTTTGTCGGAGAAAAATGACATAGAAAGAACAAAGAGGAGAAGTAAGCGAGGAAAGAAATAAAAGGGTTTTACAAAGGAATACCCAAGAGAGATTCTGTACAGTAAAGTGACAACTATATGCGCGCTTCGACATTATGAGTTATCTAGCCTGCAGCAACACCTGCGCTTTTACTCAAATTTCACCAACGAGTCGACGTGTAACGAGTTACGTGCGATAGAAATATTTCCTACAAACTGATATATATTTCAAGTACTGTTATGTTGTCCGGGCAAAAGAAATATATGTAACAGATAAATAATGAAAAGCTACATCAAAATATAGAAAGAGAAAAATAAACTAAAATTAAAAAATAGCTATTCAAAAAACGGAATTAAAGATGAAAAATTGTGCACTGAAAGCTTGTAAAATGAGTCTTACTTTATATACAACTATAATATATAAGGGCTGAATTTATTTACGATGGCTTTAATTTATTTTAAAGACAGAGAAGTTTCTTCAAATTTAAGAAAAGTCACAAAGGAACAAGGCAGAAAAATTTCTTTAAATTTAAAAAAAGTTACGCAAAGGAAGAAGACTAGTTTATCCAATTGCCGATCGACGAGGATATAATCTATATACCTTAAGGGAAAATTATTTCGAATAAAAACAAATTCGTTCGACGAGAGGAAGTGGAGGTTGCTCCGTAAATCCGAAAACTTTCCACAAAATACAATTTTTCGCTTGCATTCGTGCTCATTCGTTTGAGATATCTATCGTTTGCTAAGCGAGATGTTAAAAATTTAATGAGCTTTGTGTAAAGCTTGTAATCCTCAAAATGGACGTTAAATGTTGCACGAGGAGCTTTGCTTTCGAGTGAGAGTAGCTGTCGAGCCAGAAAGACAAATGCTTTTAAATTCGATTTTACTCGTAATTGAATCTCGGCTTTATTTTTAAGAGATATGATACTTCTTGCGACTATATGCAAGGAGAGGTGTAAGCGAATGCAAATTTTGCCAAGTGCCATATCAATCTCGCTTGGACAATTTTTGCATGACGCTCGAGATAAGTATAATTTGCAAGCAAGCGCGTAATCAGATTCCTTTTTTTAATCCTCGAAAGTGCCGCGCATATCGCACGTTCATTACTGAAGAGAACGTTTTTATCAGGAAGCAAGGATTAACCTTGCTTGAGAAGCAAAATTGTCTCACCAATTTTTAATCACGTGTATAAACGGGAATCATATGAGATAAAGAAAAAGTTTTCCTCTTGGCACACTTCCCTATACTGTTCACATAATAATCTATACATATATACATTATATATTTTTAAGCTACCGTTATGGCCAATTTTTATGCTGTATACTCTTCTTTTTACATATATGTATAAAGCACACAGTTTATTTTAATTAGGTATCAACAATGACTTATCAACAATGATCAAGTCAAGTGTATTTATTGTATTATATTATTAATTTTGTATAATACCAATAGTAGTAATAAAAAAAACTGTTTTAACGTTTAGGAACTATGGGAAAAATAATTATTTCATTATTTTACTTTGCAACATTACATATTGATTAAATTTCCAACTACAATTTCTTTAAAATAAAATATAAGATATGATTATATGCTTTTTCTACATTTAACAACTCTAAAAATTTTTTAATTATCACAACATCATTGATACTGTGAGAACTACAATTCAAAGCTTGAAATAAAGAGACGTATAAAAATTTCTCGATACTCTATATATTTTGTTTGCGACCATCTCTCTTTTTTTAACAAATACAAATTTTATTATAGGATCCAAATGAACCACAAATCCAAATCATAATGTAAATCACAATGAGAGAGCAAAGTATACTTTCCTCTATCTATGACGATCGTATTCCGTTACATGTGTTTTACGATCGTATTCGCGCGAATGGGACAAAGTATTAAAACTATTAATTGCAAACGAATGCATTACGATTCTTCTAATGCGCTGCGCCGATCGCTTTGCAAAATATGTTCAAAAAATTTGATTATTACAACTTACCATTCAGCTTAACAATGATCGCTTCTTACTCTTGCTTTTCGCGTTTTCGACGGCGATTCTCGAATTCCCACGGCGGTTTGCGGAACATAACATCGCACCGCTAAAATAGAAAAAAAACCTGTTCGCACAATGTTCACGCGGAGTTTCATAAAATCGCGCCTAGAGAAGCGCCGATTATTTTAAACGATCCCGTTTATTTGTTTATAATGATAAGAAAATCAACATTCCATCGATCCGTTGCCATAATATTTGTACACCATCGTTTCGTGTATATTTAATATTATTTATATATAGATCAATGTCGCTCTGTGCGTCTCGCATTAATTTTGTTTAACAGTGAGAGAAGAGACAAGCAGTTTCTAGTTTATCTATAATATCACTTATCACAAATAATGTTTCATTATGATTGACATGCCCACGGTATAATGTCTGGAGCACTCGTATCACTGGCATCCGATACGGTCTGACTATGATTGACCTATATCACTTACTTTTCATAAAGATTGACTATAATCAACTTATATATTGCTTACGTCCGATTTATATTAACAGATAAATCAAAGAAAACGACAGCTGAACTGCTTTCGAAGTGGAACAATATCGAATACATGTGTGTGCTTCTTCCGTTTTGCGAAATACACAGTAAAAATTTATTCAATATTATTTATTCATCATCTCATTTCTTTGTTACTGTTTTATCAAAATCATGCTTTAAAAATATGAAAAATCATCGTGATAAATTGATCGCGACGGCATCGCTGATTATTCTGCACTGATTGGCATTCGCGATTTACTTAATGGTCTGCATCCGTTCTCAATCTATCGCGGTGACGGGCATCATTGGAAGAACTCTTGAATTGAAACACGATGACCACATCGAATCACGTCCGCTCTTTACCCTGAGGGGTTGTTCCAAAGCGTCCCTTATGAAAAATGAACGCTCGACCGTTGGACATATACGGAGATGATTAATTTTGAGCGAACGGAATATAAGAATTTAATACATCACAAATAAAATAAATCATACGAGTAATTTGTCAATTAAAGGAATTCTTCAGATTTAAAAAAAAAAATTGAAATAAATTCACAAATTTAAAAACACTTGAAAAACAAATAAATTGTTTACAGACCTTTTCTTATCAATCTCATTACGTTAATCGCAGATTCCATCATAATTCGGCGAACTATTATATACAACCGATAAACGATTTTAAAGATTATGACAATTTAATTATCTTTAAATTATCTCTGTTGCCCGAAAAGTTTCTATTTAGTAGGTTATATGTGTCACATTACTCACTCTGTTCCAAATTTAAGTTCCATCTCGTTTTATTTTCCAAGAATCATAAGCGACAGCTCCAATATTCCAATATAAAGTAGGAAGAATTTAATGCCATTGCGAAAGAGTCATTATCGTTACGAGAAATTCGTCAGCAGAGAACAAAGCCGCATGTCGTACTGTAAAACCTCCACTATGTTTTCAATTAAAGAGGCTTCATTGATAATCGTCGATCGTAGAATGCACACTTTCTCGTTATAAATGTCATACTAAATGCCATCCCGATCGTATACGCGGGCTCTATCGAACTTGACTCTATGGACGTCGACGAGTGTTCTCGTTCGTAGCCGTCTATTCCCTCGAGAGAGAATCCTTCTTCTAACCGCAGATACACTCTGCAGTAAAATCCAACAAATGTTTCGATAAAACTATCCGTAACTTTTCACGTTTAAAACAAGCCTCATATCTCAACACTGAGATACGTTCAAACTTGGAGCTGGCGGATATCGAACCGACACCGAACCGAAACCGAACTGTCGGTGGTGAACGACGATAAAGCGCAATTCGACGCTCGGTGACGACGAGATCGATGAGATTCTTTAGTTTAGATCGAGATCCCGCGGCCGCGGTGCTTGAGGCGTTTGAGCTTCGATCGAACGGACAAAGCGAGACGAGGTTGGGAAATGCGAGATAAATGTTGAGCGAAATACGAGCAGGCCGAGCCGAATGACGACAGTGAACGAGGAGCGTACGCCGGCTTTTACGTACGGACGCACCCCCGTAGTGGCGGCAGGGCGCAGGATCGCTCTCCAATGTCTCCGGGGGTGGCTGTGGCGCATGTGCGGTAAATGTACAACAGGAACGCTGCATGCGAAAGCGCGTAGTCGCAGCCCCGTTCCATCGCGACCTGATCCCCTCCCCCTCCCCCTTCTCCTCCTCTCTCTCTCTCTCTCTCTCTCTCTCTCTCTCTCACTCTTCTTGAT